ACAGCAACCATATGATTCATCACAACAACAACAACCATATGATCCATCACAACAACAAGAACCACATGATCCATCACAACACCAACAACCATATGATCCATCACAACAACAAGAACCTGGTCATCCTCATCATCTAGGTAAGATAAAAAATTATAGTTTTCGTGAAGAAAACAAATCATCTAGCTTCCTAAGCTGTAAAAGGAAAATTAAAAATGATTAAAAATGATAGTGATAAAAGAGAAGTTCTGTAGAGCAGTTTCAAAAAATTACTTCTTAGTGATTTTCTCAATAAAGTAATAATGTGTCTGACAGAGAAAATCAATATTATTCATCAATTGCTTAAAATAACCAAAACGAATCATTATTAAGAGTTTCGACAAGTACAGAAAAGAGGAAGAATGAAAGATCAAAAGTGTCTTTGGATTATCTAAATAATTATGAGAGCTATACACGGACAATAACATTCTTCAAGTGTTCAGACGAGTTTACTATATCATCAAAACAAAACGAGATGACACTATTCCTAATAGAAACGAAGATATATAAACTATCACAAATCAGCACACATAATTCCTGATTCATGATGGCTTATTGAAAGATAAACACTCATTATTTTTGAAGCTATTACTGCTTATATTTACAATTTATGGAATAGAAATATTATTTCTTCGAAAGATATTCTAATAAAGATTTATTTAACTATTTGTTATTGATAATCTTCAAATAAATTTGATAATCACATTAAAAAAAAAGCAATGATGTTAACAAAATAAAATATATCTATATCATTGATTCTAGATCCACATGTACCACAACAAGACACAAATCAAGGACAAGATGTTGATTCAGGAACATCACCAGACGGTAGTGAACATCAACAAGATGGTGATGATCAGAGAACTCCAGATGGAGAAGGTCATGAAACTCATAAAGGAGAAGGTCATGAAACACATACAGGTGGAGAAGGTACTGAACATCAACAAACAGGAGAAGGAGGTCATGAGCATCCTGTACCATCTGATCCAAATCAATCCACAGAAGCAGCCGTTATTGATGCTACTACTATTACTGATGTTCCAGCACCAGCTAAGAAAGGATTTAATTGGTTATTAGTAATTATTATCATTGCAGTCGTAGCTGCACTTCTTCTTCTCGGTTTAATTGCATTAATATTACGAAAACGACGTGGTGGTAGAGGATATAACCCAGCAGCTACTTCAGAACGTGGAGCAGGTACAACAGCCAGAGCATAAATGTGTTTTAGTTTTATTGTTCAAAATAATTGTCGTTTTGTTTTGTATGTCGTTTTGCTTTCTCTTATCTTTTTTTCTCTCTCGTCGGTGTTTCTCCGCACTCTAAGCAAGAGCAAGTATTACTATTATTATTATTATTCTTATTATAATTATCTATATAACGATTTGAATACTATATGAATATCCTCCTTTTTCTTTCCTTCCGTTAGATTAGTATCTAAACAAGAAAACAATGATTTTAAGTGATTGATTATGCGTGCGTGTGTGTGGGTGTGTGTGTTCTTTCTCTTTTTTCTAACCCATTATGTTTATTCTTATTGAAAAATATTTCAGTTTTCTGCTACTATTTCTTTTATTATTCACGTGATGAACTTTTTTTGTGCTCTTTCGTGTTTATATTTCGTTTCATTTTTTTTTTCCTCTGATCTTGCTTTGCGTTAGTTAACACAGAGAGCTATTTCTCAATTTTGATCATTCACATACACATCAAGTATTTTGTTGTTGTCATTATTGCCATTTTTAAATCCCTTTTATTTTTCCTTTTTCTTATCAACATTAATAACAATATGATGAAGAAAAGAATATAAAAACAGAAAAAATATTATCAATTAAATGTATTCCCTCATAATGTGTGCAAAGACGTGTATTTCCTATAATTTGCTTATTCTGCTTTGTTTTATTTCCTTTTCTTTTTCTTTTTGCTTTGTTTATTCCTATGTTCTGATTTTCAAGTGGTTTGGTATTTTTCTAGCAAGTTTTAAGTTTGTCGCTTTTGTTTTGCTGTTTAATTCAATTCACATCCACGCACAAATATTATTTCTTTTCTCTATGAATTGGAATTTGTTATAAAAACGAGAACACAAAAGAAAGGACAAAAACAAAAATATATTAATTACTTCAGTTAAGCAGATCAATTTGTTTATTGAGAGCATCAAATATCTTGACCTATAAATTTAATTTAATGTCAATATTGATTAGAATCCGTCAAATCCAAAACTTTCATATCCAGTTGATCAGACTTTTTCGACTCGGTTGATTAGGTTTTTTGGAGCCAGACCTGGTTGAATCGTATTTTGATACTCTCAATGAAATTTTCTAATCGGAATTGAATAGTCGCCCCGAAGATACGAGATATTTTTTTTTCCCGACTTTTTGTATTTGATGATTAGTGCACTCTACATATTTCTCAGACGACTAGAACCGGTCGGATCATAATTTTCGGACCCGAATCCGACGGACTTTAATATTGATATAATCGCAAAAAACAGAAACACAGAAATAAGATTTCTTAAACAAATAATAGAACATCTGGAAACATGAAAGATTTTGTTGATAAATTTTTTCTAATTATATATGGAAGTAAAAATGATAGTTATTTAATCATGAGTAATTTTTTGTTTTATATTTCAAGTATATCCGATAACATGACATTATTCAGTAAGAAGAGAATGACGATGAACATGCATATTATTAATTTGACATAGGAAAAAACAAAAAAAAGAACAACAACATTTAATTGCTACCCTTCATTGCATACAAGAGACAACATAGATGTTAAGTAAATATTTGATTAAAAACAAAAAAAATACACAAGAATCGATAAATAAAAAAATTGCTAATATTTTAATTTATTTTATGTTAAAAAATATATTTATGACATTCTTTTTCCCACTTTTTGATATTCATATTAACTGTGACAATTAAATGACGAGACAAAAGGAAAAGTTAAAATAAACTTTTGGACGGACAGAATAAAATTAAATAAAATAATATTTTTTTTATGTATATATATATATAAGTTAATAAACTAGTTGATTTGCTTTGTTTTTTGAATAAATTTAAGGTAATTGTAAATAATTTTTTTCTGCATAATACGCTTCGATAATATCATAAATTTGTTTGATTGTTTTTATGAATATTTTATATTGATCCATCATATCCGATTTATGACCATGAAAAATTACTTCATCTAATTGTTTACGTGATGGCAATGCATGAAATCCAACTTTGACTGTTGTACGAATAAAAAAACCATCTAAAGAAAATTAATATGATTTATTAAATCTAGTCATAGCTATAAATTATTCATAAATAATGAACAATCAACTATATAAATTATTAAATCGTTAAAAAATGCATGTTATTTATTAGTATTTAGTTGCAATGAATTCGATCAATGTATGTTCATTCTATAACTATTTTATAATAAACTATATACATTTGAATTACTTGATATTTTATCTACAAATATGCTTTCTTGTCTTAGAAAAGAACTTTGCACTAATAATGAATAACTTTTGAGATGAGTCTTAGTTAAATTAAACAGGCACAAATAAAAGTAGAAAAAAGTCACAAATTAACTTAGAGAAAATATGAAGACAGTCAACAACTCTTACGGCAATATACCACCAGGACTTAGATTATATGAAATATTTTGTTTAATTTGATCGATAAGGGTATGAGTGTGGGTACTTCTTATACATATCCACACTCACGCCATCTTGCTAAGCACGATGTCGTCCTGCTCAACGGTACGATCGCTAACATCCAATTAAAAGAACTAAGGTTTTTTTTTAGAGAAGAGAAGATCAATGAGATCAGTTTAAGGGTGAACCGAAAATCCGGGTTGACAATTCCGTAGACCAAAATTCCTGTAACCTGTCGGTATCGATTCTACCTATAATTGCAGTCTATCAGACACGCTAATAAGTAGCAACAATATCGAAAACAAAAAAACAAAAAGATTCTGACAATTCCATAAGTAGATCGACTGGGGACCGACTAGAGCTCTTTGAGTTCAAAATTTTCGGACTCGAATTCGAGCGAGTCCAGAACCAATCCAACGGGCTCTACTGCTGACGTTGATATCTTTTATGATCTACAAACGAACTATTCGTCTTAAATCAAATAAAATCAATCTGAACATTATATCATTTTAATACAACAATCTGTATGAATAGCAAATATATTAACGTTGAAAACAAATTCATTACAGCCTACTCATCATTTTAATCAATTAATAAAAAATAAATGTTTTTTTTTTGGATACTATCTTTTTGTCATATTTAAAGATAAATTTAAAAAAAGAAAAACTTCAGTTTGATATAATCCTGAATTCTAACAATAAAATTGTATGTCTTCCAAACAAAAAATACTTACGATGATGGTATAATGTTGAATCATAAGCATTGCTTGCAATTGTAGCGGTACTATCAGATAATGGTCGATCACTTAAAGCACGAAGAAATTCTTCAATAAATATTAAAGCACGATGAAGCCTTAATAAAGTTCGAGCAAAATTGTTTGGATTTGTTTTAATTAAATTATTTTCTGTTTCATAATCAATAGCTTTTTGTATTGTATCAAAATGTTTTGTATCAATTGCATCTTTATCAACAAATTCTTGTAGAATAGTTAATTTTTCTACAACATCGTCTTTAACAAATTTAAATACATATCCAAGTTGATCAAAAAATCTATTAGATAAAGAAAAAAAAAAATAGGCTTGTTTTTCTTAACGAAAAAAACAAAACTAAATTAGTTTCCCTTGAGAATTCTTCATTTTTCTCTATTGTTGTTTTTTATTCAATCAAAACTATTCATTTGTAAAAATTTACAAGAGAATTTCTTTATTGTTTCGAATATTCTAGATCGATAAAAATATTCTTAACAAAAAACAAAAAAAAAAAAGACTCACTTAATTAATTCTCGATAACCATTTATATAATTTTGTGTACCAATAGGTGATTTTGGATTTTGAGATTCTTTTAATGCAGCAACAAATGCTTCATAAACAGACAATACATGAAATTCACCGGGTGATGCATGCGTTGTCTTGACAACAGGTTCAATAACATCAGCTGATCGAATATCTTTTCTATCAGGTGGTGTACTTTTTGTTATACTATCAGTACGTAAACGAGATGGTCCATCGAAAGCAGTACCATCAATCTCTGGTGTATCAACACGTATTATAGAATCCATTCTTTTTTAATAATAATATTATAAAAATATTTTAAAATTGAAATGACGAATACAAAAAAAACAACAACAACACTTAGTAAATAAACAAATATTTACTTGTATATTTTTGATTTAAATAATTTATAATTTTAAAAAAGAGTTAATAAAAAAAAAAGAGAGAGAGAGAGAGAAAAAAATAAAACGAATCAGCTGGTGAATCAAATAATAGAAATTCAATTAATTTGCTAGTCGCAACTATGATCAACGATATTAAGGTGGATGGATAAATAAATAATCAGTATTATTATAGCCAACAGATAATCTTCGATAGATGGCATTCATTCACAGTAAAATTAAAGAAAAAAAAAATCAATGGTCTATTGATAGTCTTAACATGTAGATAAAAATAAATTCTATCGAATTTGATTTATTCAATTGAAAATAAAAAACTTAATTTAGACAGACTTCTAACCATGGATCAAGCATTATTACACAAAGAAAACATTTTATGTAGGAATTAAAAACCTAGATTATATTTCCAAATAAGTTTTTCTTAAGGTCTTCGTTTTTTGTTTTTTGTTTTTGATGTATTTCCTCTCCATGACCTTAAAATCTATTAATATCTTAAAAAGGAAATTGGATAAAGTTATTTTTTTTTATATATCATAACGCTCCATTTCAGCGTAGTTGATTGAGTCAATAATAATAACTATATATGTCTATTCAGATTTTCTAGGTACTTTACTTTTTTTCTTAAAGAGATATTGAAAGAATTATTTTGTTTTGCAAGTTAACTGTTGATTTTTCCATTTTTCGAAGTTTTCAATAAAGCAAGTAAATAGATTATTTGATTTAATATAAAATATTTTCCTGATAAGACTAACACAAATAATCTGAAAAAGGGCTATTAATAATTAAATGTAAAACTATTTATAGCAATAATGGATAAACACAAGGCATGTTCTTGATAATGTCATGATAAGAATATATTTTAACAGCTTGATTTACTGTAGCTCTATAGTATTGTTATAAAATATATTATTAAGACATGTTGATGAAGAGAAAGAAATAGAAAACAGCAAGTATTGCTTTTTTTTTTAGAGTCGAAGATAATTATAGGAATATTTTCTATGTCACTTAGATTAGTCGGTTAGTCGAAATCTCATAAAAACTAGATCATTCAATAGAATAACTAATCATACATCCTTATTTTTATCATAAATAGGATAGAAATCTTTTGCAAATAATGCGAATAATAGTCTAACATTTTTTTTTTCATTTGTTTTCTCTCTCTCTCTCTCTCTCTCTCTCTCTTTGTTTTTTGGTTAGGTTAATATAATTTTGATGTTCTATGCAACTTTAAATCTCATCTTTTTATTTATTACTAACAAATTATAGTGTAGCCGAAGATCGTTTACATTCGCTCAATGAAATTTTGTTGATTTTTGTGTTTATCGATATCCTCTTTTTTTCTTTTTTTTGCATTGTATCATCGTTTATTTTATTTTTTTTGTGTTTTACCCTAAAACACGGTCCTTATTATAATCATAACAATAACAAAGAAAGCATGTCAACATAAACCAAATAGCGACAATTCTATGTATGTGCTTTTGCTAGAAAATATCTATATATTTTATCATGGATCAACAAAATTTGCCGTCGTCATCTAATGATGTACACTCTGTCTTATCTTATTTCTCATCTATAAACGATTCCATTCATTCCGAGCAGCTCGTCATAGCTCGAATCGGGACCTTCTTTTTCTTCTGTCTCTCTCTCTCTCTCGTTTGCTCTCTTTTTCTGTTTCTACGTTGTTGTTGTCGTCGTTGCTAGTGTTATTATTAGTTTTCATATTGATGATGAGCAGTATAGACAGACACATTATTTTCATACGGTATTAGATGATTGTATGATGACAATAGCATGACTGATAAACTATTAATCTATTTTTTAACACTCTCAAGTATAAATCATCATCTGTGACACATTTATATGATCGGCTTAAGCTTAGCTAACACAATTTCACATTACATTATACATATATATGTATATTTTTTGTACTAATAGTTCAAAACATGCACATCTGATTACTTTATATAATGGTAAGATTTCCTGTTAATGAAAAATAAAAAGAGAAAAAAAACGGAACAGATCTATCTAGCTGTCATCTATTTGTATTTTTCTATTACTTAAAGGCATATGTTAGGTATCAAGTAGAGTAAAAAAGACCTTCAAAAACTAATATATATATATAGATATTTATATAAATATGATTAATATGATTAATTAGTTGATTGCTTACAGTTGTTTGATATTTACATACAATACCTTCATTTTACCTTTTTTTTTCTCCTTTTTTTCTATTATTTTTTTCTTCCGGATAAAAAAAAACACTTCCTTCTCTTTCCGAGTATGGCTTTGCTTCTTACTTTCTATCATTTATTCAGTATTTTTCCGAGACATTGAGTAAGTGAACGGAAAAAAAAGCAGAGCTTTCTCTTTGCTTCTTTGAGTTCGTTGCTATTTGCTCTTCATATTTCTTTTAACGAACAACTCCAAATAAATTCTCTATTACAGTCTTCTGTTGTTTCTAGCAGTTACTAACGGTTTCTCTTTCTCATCATAATCACTATCATCATCATCATCATCATCATCATCATCATCGATAACATCATATATATATATACATTCGAAAAGCAGTCTGGAAGAAAGAGAAAAAGGAGAAAGCAAAGAAAACAGACGATCCCTTTACTAAAATGATGGAATGCCAGACAACAACGATGAAGAAAAGATCACTATATTATATTTTGCTGTTCTATTCTAGATATTCGATTCATTAGTTTTTTCCAAATAGTTCAATTACAACATATTTGCCAACATCATTTTGCCCTTCTTTTTCTCGTCGATAATAAGAAAAACTCGTGAGACGGTAACAGACGCATTGAATTTATTCACTATTCAGTTCCCTTGATGGTTCTTTATTATGGTCTGTTGGCTCTTGAGACAGCCAACAACACGATCGCTGCAGCCGCTTCCGCCCAAACAACAACAACAACAACGACGCCTGGGCTAACATCTGATCGCATAAGTCGATCACGGAAACAGAAATATTTATCAAATTCAATCGGAAAAATTCCATCATCATCATTATCATCATCAAATTCATGGATTTATACAGAAGATTTAAGAAAACGTTTTGAAGAACGTTATGCTGATTGTCGTTATGTATTTATACCTGTTTATATTGATCGAAAATCGACAAAGCATAGTCATAGTACAACAACTATTTTATCACAAAATGATCATGAAAATTCTTGGATATATTCAAGATCACTTCGTGATCATTTAGTTTATTCAACATCAAAAATATCTTTACCATTAACAACAAATATATCATCATCATCATCATGTTGTGTAACAAATCATGGATTTATGCGTGATGAATTGCCAATAAAAAAAACTTCGAAAATTAAATTATTTAAACATTCATCATCAACAAAAGATAAATCAACAACAAATTTATCATTACCATCATTACGATTTAGTCCATTTACATCATCAATATCATCATTTTCTACAACAAATAATTTAATTAAACATCGAACAAGTGATGTTGTCGAAGAAGAAGATGATGAAGGTATTGATGATGAAAATCATTCAGCACCACTTATTAAACATGAGTAAGTAATTTCAATATTGAAAAATAGAAAATTAGTTGAAGTAAAACAAAAGAAAAAAATTAAACATTTTTTTTCTATATAATTGACAAATAATTTATTGTTGACATCAAAATGAATAATATGATGAAAAATAAATATTTTCTCAGTACATAACATGTGAGAGAGTTTCCTTTTTCTTTTCTTCTATGACAAACATAATCATAGAATTCCATGAGACTATCTTTAATCATATAAGATGCATTTTGTCATATTTTATTCATTTAATGACATTCATACGGATGCGCTTTTGTTTTTTTTTGTACTAAAAGTAATGATTTCAACAAGTATATAGAAATAGAACAAATTAATATTTTGAAATCTTTGAGTTTCATAAGGTTTCATAGAAACAGGAAAAACCGACATTATTCATTTAACAAGAATCGAAGTATTCAATATGTGTATTTTTTTTTTCTATATTATTAAATATAGTTCTATGGTTCCATCATCTTTATCAACATCACGTACAGTAGCGATATCATCTACAGGGAATAATACAATAATTAATCCAACAACTACTGATGCATCAGCATTGTCGACTTCAATTTCATCTAATACAAAAGCATCAATAAAACATCCTGCTAAACCGAACAATAAATTGACACGTCTACGCTCATTTTTCTTTAAATCATTTTCTCCATCGTCTTCCTTTTCTCGTACTCAACAACGACAACAACAACAACAGCAGACAACATTATCATCCTCGTCGCTGCCTAATCGAATTTCGAGGACATGAGTGTACGTGTATACGCACATGAGAAATAGAGAGAATGAAAGAAAAAAAAAAGAACTCTCTTGTAATGGCTAATTGAATCCATCTATTCATCTGTCCTCGTGTTGTCATAACATAAGACATGCGATAAACTAAAATAATGGCAAGAGAAGAAAAAAAAAATCCTTTCAATTTTAATGGCAAACTCTTCATTTAATAGACACAATGATATATTTATTATTAACGTTTTATTTTTATTGAAAAACTAGAACTTACATCCAAAAAATGGCAACGGAAGAAAAAAAAACAAATTATTTTTATTCTTGGGTTTTTTTTATTGCGATTGTAAGATTTAGGCCATTTTTTTAGCTTTAACAAGTTGTACAATATAACGATAACGTGCTAAACATTGTTCACGTGTTTTACCGGGTATACAACGAGCTATTTGTTCCCATCGATCAATACCAGGTGTATCTTTTGGTACAGTTTTTAATGCACATTCAAGTAAATGTTGATCATCTTGTGACCAATCAGAAACAGATTCGCATTGTTGTCGTTCCGTAATTAAATTTTGATCGATCGTTACTTTTGTTGAAAATGATGAATGAGTATCTTGAAGAATATTATTATTTGAACCAACTGTATTTTGTATTTGCTTTGCCATATCTATTACTTGTGATGTAGGACGATTGATTGTATCAGCAATTTTTTCCCATCGTCGAGGTGTTCCAGGTGGAAATCGAACAATACTTTTACATAATAATTGTTTTTCTTCATCCGACCATGGACGAGTTAAATTTTGAGAATCTGATGATTGATTATTTTCAGATGATGAAGTTGTTGTTGTTATTAAATAAGAAACAACAGGCGCATTTTTATTGGTTGCCATTTCAGGTACAATATCATTTTGTCGAACGACAGGAGATTTTTTTATTATTTGGTGTTCATTATTATCATCATCAGATGGAGGAACAGATTCAATTGATGAAGATTGACGACGATAATTTATAATAATATGTAGAAAATTTTTTATATATGGTATTAAAAATTGATGATTAACAAGAAAATAAGCAAATTTAATAGGTAATATATCAATCAATTGAGGTGATGCAACACCTACAAAAAAGAAAAGAATGATAATTCTTTTTTCAAGTTAAATTTCATTTACATATTTGAATCTTAGACATTGTATGAGAATAGGAATCCTTGAGAAAACTTTAAGATAAGTAATTCTTTTTTTGACGTGAATTGATAGAATATGGCCGTAGGCATACTTCAATATAATGAAATGACTTGAGAGAAGATTTTTGTTTTTCCTCTAAATGTCAAAGTAATCTTTTTTTCAATCATATCAAATTGATACATTATACAATCTTTTGAGTTTTTTCCTTTTTTATGGAATTCTGACAGTTAAATAATCGTTAAAATTAAACATCTAATTTTTGATTAAAACATAACTGTTTAATAGTGTACAACAAGTTCATGTCAAACTATAAATGAATAAAAGAAGAATATGTCTGCCTTTCAATTACTGTTCAGAGATGGAATCGTTTTGTATGCAGTGTTGCCTAGTGACAGAGTCAAGGTTCTGATGTTTTTCCTATAAGTAATACTAGCTGTAGCTCTGAATAGACGGTCAGCCTGACATAGAGTTCAAGTATTTTCCATACACACTAACTAACAACAAGAACAAGTATATGTCACAATGTAATCAGCATGTTAACTGATCAATGATCCGAATAAATAACTGTTAGTGACATGTCCAGAGTGATTTCATTGCTGGTGGTAATGAAGTTTGAACACAGTAGCTTTTGGATACGTGTCGAACAATGCAGTCTCTACATGAATAGAGTTATATGTTTCAGAAAAAAAAACGACTGTTTCCTGCTGCAAAATGAGAGTCGTTAATACTCGTATTTTATCTTTAAAATGATTCTATATGAATTAGTCTTAAAAATGATTATTTATATTTTTTTGTTTTCTAATTACCAGGTAAAATTCGAGCTACTTCTTCATCAATCATATTTTGATCAATGTCTTTAATTTTACTTGATTTTTTCATTTTTTTCTCTAATCGTTTACGTACATTCATTGATCGTTCATTCTAAAATATATATTGATCATAAGAATTTTGACATATAAATTGGTCTTACTTCACCGTAGTCAAAGTAGATTCAAAATAACTCGCCCAAAGAACTAGATAATGTCCAATAGTAAATATAAGAGTTAAAATTGTAAAAATTTCCCATATACGTAATTTTCTTGCTCGTCGAAAATAATACATTGGTTGATTCCATTTTGGTAATCCTTCAATAAGTATACGATCATATCGAGCACGACGTTGTTCATCTTTTAATATTTCATAAACAGCAACAAGATGACGAAATTTTTGTTCAGCATCTGGTTCATTTGATTTATCTGGATGCCAAAGAAGTGAAAGTTTTCTTTAAGAAAAACAAAAAGAAAACGAATAAAAAAACAACACTACATATCAATCATTTTACCTGTATGCTTTTTTAACTTCACTTAATTCAGCTGTTTTTCCAACACCAATAAAATCATAAAAATTTGTATTCAATCCAAGTTCTTCAACCAAATCAAATAAATCAAGTTCATAAGTTTCCCAAGCGCTTATTAAATCGATTCGAATAATCAATAACAAAAGACACAATTGATATTTCATCTGCAATTAAATTTTTCATATTTTTTTTTGTATATTTTTATCGAGAGACAAAAAAAAGAGAAGTCGAGCTGATATAAATGTAATATGCCAAAGAAAAAAGAATGAAGGAAACACAACAACAATAAAATGACTAGTACAGGATCAGAACATGTAGAATATTTACACTTCTCTTATGAAAACTGACTACACACACACACTGTTAAAATTTTTTCTTTTATGTTTCACGAGACAACATTGAGATCAAAAGAAGCATTTGTGTAAATAAAATGAGCGGTTTTTTTAAAGTTAAGTTTAATTTAATTTTTATTTTGATTTATTTGCTGTTATTTGACCACCATCACCTTCATCATCACTTGATTCCGACGCACGAAGATCATCATGATGATGAATATTTTTTAAATTAGCTTCACGAAGTTGAAGAACACTTTCAGCTGGAACAGGATTTCCACTCGCATCCTTAATCATTGGTCTCATAATGCCATGACTACTCAAAAGAAAAAATAAAAATAAAAAAATATTTTTTTTTCTAACTTGATAGCTTGATCTAAAGAATGAACAAGTTTTTCCATTTCAACCATTTTTCGTTCTTCAGTCCAATCTTTCATTGGATCGTCATGTCGTATTATATTTGCACGACCTGTGACTGGATCAATACTAAAAATAAAAATTTACATAAAATGGCCTATTTGATTTCAATCTGAATTTCGAACCAAAAAACGATACTCGATTTCAAATGGAAATGGGCGTTTTTAAAATTATCGATAAAATTATACATGCATATGTCCGCATTCAGAAAAAAAAGGGAAGGGAGTATATACATATATATTCATATGAATAATTCTAAAGACCTTTTACTTTCTTCATCCCAAAAAGAGAGCCTATATAACTGCATATAACAATAGATAACAGAGATGTCCATGGCGATGGTACCGCTGTCGCGGCAGATGTTTAAAAAATACTATTATGGTAGCGGCAGCTTGTTTTTCAGAGAGATTATAAAATTGCATGCATTTGCACCCGATTTGACTGTCTATAAGTTTAACGGTCAGAATTGTGGTGAATCTGAGAGATTCAACGTAACTGTGCAAATTTAGCCCAGTGGCTGAAGAGATTTTTGAAGAATTTCTGGAAAACCATCACGGTAGCCTTGTCTCTTCTAGGAGCGCGACGCAGCAGATTTCTAACCACGATGAGCATCTTTGATAGATAACTCTCAAGGTTTATGAAACGATGCGTCCCGAAAATAGTAAAATGAAGAGTATGCATATAATTGGATATTAATCACCGACTCGAAACATCTTATAACATGATTTAAACACTCATTGACTATGATTATTAGGAGTTGTGGTATGTTTTATATATGACGAGACCCTCTCTCCGCATCTTCTATCTAACGTGAGGCTTGTTTCGCTAGACCTCTAAACTTTTGTCGTTGAGAAAAAGCAAGCGTTATTTTTTTTTCTAAAATTTAGTTTGAAATGAAAAACCACATAGAATTCAACTTTTAATCAAATAAAATTCCTTTACCCATATTGATCACGAATTTTTTTATAATTTTCCGTATCAGATTCATCTGAATCACTCGAATATTGTTCCTTATTTGCATTATGTTGTGGACCAAGTAAACCAAAATCATATAAAAGTCCAGCTGCATTTCCATAACCTGTATATTTAATTAAACGATCGACTAAAACAAATGAACAAAAATTTAAAAAAAAATCAAATTATCAATATTTTTGCTCATACCACTCTCTTTACAAAGAACAAAAAGTAATTTTGCTGAAAGAGTTTTTAATTCCGAATTTGGATTTGTCATCATACGTGTTAATCTAAAAATTTTTTAAATTATATTTTTTTTATTCCAAAAAAAAAATTTTTGTTTTTGTTAATTCACTTGTTCCGTAATTTTTGTCCTTCGGTTGGTAAATTTAAAACTTCATCACTTAATGGAGGTAAAATAAATTGTCGACAAAATTTTCTTATTGTACGATTTGATTGACACATAAGTATAAGAAGTTGAAGAACAGGTAATAAAGCTTCTTTAGCATTTTTCGTTCCCTAAAAATAAAATATTTTTATTATTTTATTTTGAATTATTTTTGGTTGTTTTTTCTACTTCAGTTTTTGTAATACGATGATCAAGAAAACGAAGTATTATATTAATAGCTTCCATATTTTTTCCATTATGTTCGTCACCACCATTTTCATCTTCTAATACAGCTGGTGAAAGTAATTCTTCAAAACATGTTTTTGGCATATTTGTTAAAAGATTAATTATATGACTAAATATTATTTAATTGAAAAATAAAAACAAAAAGAAATCTATTTTTTTCATATTTCATACTTTTGTAATTCCATTTGTTTTTCATCATTTGGTCCATAACATAAAAGTAATTCACGAAGAATACTAACTAATCTCATCAAATGAGCTTCTTCTTCTTCTTCTTGTATAGCATATGAATGTGTTAAATTTGGTAAATCAACAGTTAAATTATAAAGTGTTTTTAATATTTCAATTAAATAATCGATATCATCATTCGATAATGTTATACCTAAATAAAATGAAAATTTCTTATTTTTGCTTTTTCATTTAACATTTAAAAATAAATTCATTTAATTTAACAATAACACTTTTACAGATAATATTTAGAAGACAACAAAATCTACACAACATAATCACGACTGACGAATCATTTGAAGAGTTTTATAGAAATTCTTACAGCTAAAATGTTTCGATCTACTTTTAATGACATTTAATCTGAATGGTATTAATTTGATCGAAAGAAAAAAATAACGAACGAAAGAATAGCAAAAATAAAATGTCGAAAAAAGTTTCTTTTAAAATTCTTGACCAGCGGGATGAAGATATTTTATTCCATGGAAGAAAGTGAGAGATGTATAACTACACCATCAAGAGATACTAGTGTACGAAAAATATTCAAGTACAAAACTAATGACAAAACAATACGTTACTTTATGTGGATGAATGTAAGTGTGGATATGGATGTGGTTGTGTGGTGTTGATGTGAACAGTGCATGCAAATGTCAGCTTTCTCTTTACACCTACACTCATATACCCCACAGCCTACCCTTAAGAGAGTCACCTAATGATATATGGAAAGTTTTCGACATTTGTTAGGAGTATATATTTTTTCGCCATTTTATACGATCGACATCTGTTTTTCGACATGCTTTGTGTTGACATTGTTTTTCGCTGTAATTATTGTCGACATTGTTTTTTTCGCTCTAATAGTCTTCGACATTTGTTTTCGGACATGTTTTGTGTCGATATTTTTTTCTCTATCTTTTCTTTCGACCAATTTGATACATACCTTTAATCTAGACTACACAATGATATATAGGAATAAATTATATTCTAGTTTCATAGGCTCGATTAAGCTTCTCAAAAACAATGACTCAAACTTTGAGGCAGATATTTTTAAAATATATGGTTGAGCTTATAAAACTACTATAATTTATTTCTATCTATAGAACTCTATAAATGACTCACTCAGTTCTGAACATGATTATCTTAAAACGCGTGGTATACAGAAAAATATCAGTCTATATGAAAAATGCATCCTAATTCTTATTATGTTTATCAAAATCTTTGAAAGAATTGCAAATTAGTTTTATAGAAATGTAGAAAAAGAATCGTTACTAATTAATCAATAATTGAAATTCCTGAATATGCGCTATCTGTGAAATTATGATTATAGAACTCAACGAAAACAAAAATGTACAAGGCATATTTAATCAGATATGTAAAATCGACCATAAAAAAAAACGAAAATTTTCCTGAATGGGAAAATAACTCGAAAAAATTCTACAGGCTCAACAGTTTCCAAAAACATTTTTCTGAATGCGTGTTTGTACGTGTGGGCATATCCTGCATCTCTATGACCAACAGTACTTTATCCAGCATGAGCACGGCGCTCCTCCGAACATTGGATTGGCTCTTCTGAAGCTTGCCGCTATTGTACTATGTATTAGATGTTCGCCCTCCCGAAGTTTTTGAATTGCTTCTTTGGAAAAGAAAATTTTGATTAAATACTGAAGTCCAATAAACTATCTGAATCATCTCTAAACAAGAAAAAATTTAATTTTTCTATTTAAACTAGATAAATCAATATTTATATGAATTGTAAAGAAAATCTTGTATTGCACAAGTTTAAGAAAACGGTCGTAAACGATATAAAACATTTGAAGCATTGTGGTGAAATATGGTGAAAACTAACGTCGTAATACGTCGTTTTATAGTCCTTTATTAATTTCTGATGTCTTTAAAAAAATAAAATATAAAAAATTCAAGTTTTAAATCAAACCTGTATCTGCAGCAGCAACAGGTTCACTTCTTGATAACATGATTTGATTAATTATTTCAAATAAATAAGAAAGACCATGAAATTTTTCTCGAACACGTTGTCTAAAATAAAAAATATCAAAATTATATAATTAAAAAAATCCAAAAAACAAACAAACAAACAAAAATTGTTACCTTATATCAGCATTTAAAGCAGTTAAAAGAAACAGCATTCTCATATCAAAAAATCTTATACCATTATCTAATTTTGTTGCTGTTGTTTCTTTAATACGTTGTGTTATAGCATCAGCTACACCACTAACACTATAAAATTTTTGTACTGATGGACTCATATAAATTAAATTAGACATGCATTTTTCTGCTTCAATCACATCTAAATTTTTGTTTGTTATTTTTAAATTGAAAACAAAAAAAAAATAATAATCTTTTTATTTTACTTTGTACATCTTTTGGATTAACATCAACTTTGCCACATTCTAAACCAGCTATATTTTGAAGCGGTTCAAGCACCGATGAGCCCGTAAGTGCCTAAATTTATAAAATAATTGATGAATGAAAAAAAAAAATAAATAAAAGCAAATAAAAACTATAAAGCTTCTTACATCAAGTCCTTCACGTTCTCGTGTTAATAAACGTAATGTTTTTAAACATATATTAATTGAATTTGTATTAAATGAACGTAGACGTATAAATAATTCCATAACAAGTCGATGTTTTTTATCCAAAGCAAGTTCCGGAAATGCAAAATTATTTGCATTCTATACATACATAACAAAAATGTCAGATAATATTTTTTTTTTGTTTTTTTTTTCTTACTTTTTCATAAAATTGTTCAATTAATTTCAAATAATCATCATCAGATAACGTATCAAGTTTATTGAAATCGTCATCTGACGAGGCCATGGAAATTGATTTCGGTCTCGAACAGATACGAACAAATACGAAAAAAATCGATCAAAAAAAAATAATCTGAATGTAAATAAAGAAAGCTAAGAACAAGAAAAAAGCCTTATGACTCAGCAGTGAGTTACTGGCATAAATAAATAAATAATATGCATATATTAATTATTAGAAAATAACTTAAACACAGTGTAACTGGAAAATTTTTTTTTTAAAAAAAAGTAATAATAAAAAGACTTTTATCAAGAAAATTAGCTCGGAAAAAAATTATCTTCGAAGAAAAATTTTTTATTAAAAGACACTAGTGACATCTGAAACCTCTATTACGTTGTCTAGTCAACAAAAAAAAAAAAAAAAGGTAAATCTACTGATTAAAAGAAAAATATTCATATCAAGACAATAAAAAAATGACTGATACAACAAATGATGTGGATAAAAATTGTAAGTAATTAAGTTTTTCTCTGTTTATTGTTTTTTACATTAAAAATCAAAGATATTTTTTTAATGTCAGATGAAAGTGATGAATATTCAGATGAAAATAGTGTAAAATCAATAAATTCCTCTATACCAATTGTTCAAGATGATGAAGAAAATCTTCGTCGAACTTCAAGTAGTCTTAATAATTATACGATCTTACCACCAATTAAATCAATAACAAATGATGATAATTCAGAACAACAATACTTTATTAAAAATTTACAAGAAAAATATCAACAACAAAATCATAAAAATGGTTTTAGAATTTAAAAAAAAACCTGTTTTTCCTATTTTAACAAGTTTTTTTAATATCTAGACACACCCGAGTTTGGAAATGATCCTAAATTGGAGGATGCTTATTTAAAAATGAAACGACTTGATAAAGCACTTGAAGAAGCATTTGAAAAAGAAAAACAAGTCAAAATGGAAACAATGTCTTTAATGAAAAAGTATGTTATCAAAAAAGAAAACTGTAAAATGAAAAATAAAACTTAAAACAATATTATTCTCTTAAAAGAAAACACTGATTTATGAGAAAACATTTCTATCACACTTCAATCAATAGATAAGCATAATTTTGTAAGTACCTAATCTTAGAATTTCAAAAAATACGACTTTCCTTACAACATAAGAACTTTGAAAGAGTTCTATTTTTTTTTCGAAGTATTAAATCCTAAAGTTGACTAGACAATTTGAGAAGCCGAACAGTTACTTGCAGGTGCGAGTGTAGATGTAGGTATTAGTCAACTGTAGGTCTAGGTTTTTGTGGACTGGGGTCTGGAAGGACTCGCAGCTCCACAGTGAACGTGCATGCGAGTGCTGGCCTGAATCTTCTCTTCATTCAGACTCACATTCGTGTTGGCAAGTATCCTAAACCCATACTTTGATAATTATCTTTATTTGGCCATGATGTCTAGTTTTTAATTCGGTATTTTAACATAGAATTTCAATAGATGACTTTATTCTTATCTAATGATTTACAATATACTATTAATCAGATGTAGTGTACTGCGTGATTGATATTTTTGATCACGATCACGGTCCCAATCACGAGCAAAACAAGGTCGTGAATCACGATCACGAACTTTTATTTCAACTATAATCACGATCACGATCACGATCACGAATTTTCTTAGATCAAACTCACGATCACGATCACGATCACGCATTTCCTCAAATCAAATTCACGATCACGATCACGCATTTTCTCAAATCAAATTCACGATCACGATCACGACTATTCGCAATGTTTTTTGGGCAAAAAAATTCTCATCATTTTAACATGGTGTCCAATCTCAGAGACTAATAGTTCCGACTCGTGAGCGTTCTCCACATGGTGCTGGTCCAACCATGCATTCATTTTTCGCTTTATTATTCTGTAAACAAAGATGAGAAAATTAGTGACGGAAAAGCTCATCGCCGCTATAACGAGTACAGCAGAATAAATGGGCGATTAGTATTTTATTGATATTTCAATAACTCCTAATTGTTCAAACCTTATTATTTTTTCAAAAGATTCGCCGTAGAATTCTGCACAACGCGGTATAACCTAATTAACTAATAGATTTTTCTTTCTTTCTTTCTAGAGCACAACTGTTTTCAACAACAAGACTTGAACAATTTTCTAAATCCGGATATTTTTCAGAGAAAGTGTTTTCATTCTTCGGTCTTTGCGGCTTGCTTTATGACATGTTTGATGATTATTAATGCAAGCAGTGTGTTGCCAGTTATTACTTTCAATGGATTAACCACCAAAACGAGCTGTAAACATGCGAAAAAATAATTTGCAATGATTAAAGAATGAAAAACTTTCTCTGAAAAATATCCGGATTTAGAAAAATTGTTCAAGTCTTGTTGTTGAAAACAGTTGTGCTCTAAAAAGAAAGAAAGAAAAATCTATTAGTTAATTAGGTTATACCACGTTGTGCAGAATTCTACGGCGAATCTTTTGAAAAGATAATAAGGTCTGAACAATTAGGAATTATTGAAATATCAATAAAATACTAATCGCCCATTTATTCCGCCGCACCCTTTGCTGTAGTTGTGAATCACGAGATGTTAGTCTCCATCACGATCACGGTCACGTCACGATCACGAAGAAAGCTTCTTTGCCACTCACGGTCACGATCACGATTTGGAAAAAAAAAACTTAATCACGCACGATCACGATCACGATCTGAAAAAAAAATTATAATCACGCACGATCACGCTCACGCGTGAGCGTGATTCGTGATCGTGACCGTGATTCGTGATTCACGCAGTACACTAATCAGATGATTTCTAATAAGATAAATTTAAAATTGGATTCTTCTTGGAAAAACCAAACATCATAAAACTAGATTTTTTTTCTGTATATGTTGTGCCGAAGTTCTAAATGGTAAATAATAACCAATTGATTGATGGTATGATAAACAATATATATATAAAATTATAGTTAATTTGTCATTTTAATAATTTATATTTAATTTTCATTAGAATAAATGAGTATTATAATTGCATTGTGTTGTCATTTTAGGTTTCTGTTGTAAGGTTCAGATGACATTGCGTTCTATCGTTGATGAAATCGATGTTTAAAGTGCAGTATTCTATTTTGAAATAAGATTCATACTGACAATTAATGTAAAAAATTGTTTAGGTGCAAACATAATAAACTATCTTTGAGATCACAGCTTATGTTGAGGTACGCAAAAATCTGATTTATTTGATTTACTAATTTTTATTTGCTTTAGAATTATTTGCATATTAATTTTGCACAAATAAAGTCCTTAGGCCGATCTAAAAAAAAGAATATGTCAAATTGATATAGGAAGTTTAATCAGATTATGATTAGTAGATAAAAAAAGTGACAATGAGATAAGGTCTGAAAAAACAATAGGTTTCTGAAACTTATTTTTCAATTTATTAGATTTATAAAAATGTCAACACTTACCTTTCGATAGTATATAGCGCATCGTAATCGACGAAGAGACGTCCTTCAATTGATGAATCGCTTTTGAGTCGAGACGATGTGCATTGTGTAGACCAACTTAAGCTATGAATACTTTGAGAAGCGTTCACGCCCGTAGCTTATTGCAACGAAGATACTGCACTTTCTAAAATTGCAGTACCTATGTAGTAATAAGTTAAGGATACAAATTCTTTTCACGGTATTCGTAGTTCATTTGGGTTTACATAATGCACATAGGGTCAACTCAAAAGTAATTTATAAGTTAGAAGCCTTCTCTTCTTAGTCCTTATTCTCATTTCTTTTCTATTAGACTATGAAACAAATATCGATGTTTTAATAAAATCTTGTGAGATATTGAAAAAAGAATTCTGAAAAACTCCTAATTCTCAATAATGTCTACATTATTTCAACAAAGTTTTCTGTCGAAGTCATAAAGTTAACAAACAGTATAACTTCGGTACGACATATATAAGAATTATTTTACAAAAAAAACTTCACGAATACCTAATACATATCAATTTAAATTTTTTTGCTCTTTAGATTACGTAATGAAATGCAATCAATGGCCTTAGCTGTCAATGTTGATTCACATGATTCATCACATACTCAATTAAATCTAAAACGATTTTTAGCTCTTGATGATGAAATTTTAAAACTCGATGGTTCAATTATTGAAGATGAAAATCCAACTGAATCAATATTTAAAACTCAATTAAGTGATCCACTTGGAGATTCTCATAATACAAATAAAAATAATAAAGAATTTGTAAATAGTAATACAAGAACAAATTCATCAAATAAAAAGAAAAAATCTAGTATATCATCAAATTCAACAATGAATTCTAAAGATAAATTAAAAAAGAATAAAATACCAGAAAAAGATTTTATTAAACGTAATATACAATTAGCAAAAGAATTAGGTGGTACATGGGCATTAACAGATGATGAAAGACAACGTTTAAATCAATTATTAAATGAAGATGATCAAGAAAATATAATTGCATTAACAAATCAACACTATAATGGTTATATACCATCAATGAATGATACACAACGTTTGAAAGAAATTGATGATTTACTTGAAAAAGAATATTATAATCCATTACTTAATCATCAATTACGACGAAATATTGATAATGATATTGATTATAGTAATATTCAACAAATAACAAATGAAGAAAATGATCAATTAGAAAATCCATTTGGTGAACAAATATTAAAAGAAACACGTTTACAACGTGAACATATGCATAGATTAAAAAAAATTGATGAACAACTTGAACATTTACATCGACCAATGACAGAAGAAAAAATTGAAGCAATCTTATCTGATGAACAATTAAATGAATTACTTGGTAAATCAAAAAAAAAAAGAACTTAACTGATGATCGAAATAGTAATTGTCATTCAAGTCTTTTAGAGATATGAAGTTTTCACCCTAGTTCAGCGATCTTTATTTCAATCAACTTCATATCGATGATCTCTATTTCAGTAATGTTCATTTCAACGATGAAGTATGCAACCGATGCAAACTTTTTGTAGGACTTTTGGTTTCGAAATTATGAGCGAATATTTTAGAGGCACGAAAATTAAGTTTAGATAGAGAACAAGAAAATTGCCATAATTGATACGGTATTCCTTACCTAAATACTCATCATTGACAAATGACTTGGAATAAGTTAATCATTAATATATTGTTTTATAGAGAAATGTTTATTCTTTCGTTCGCTGTATTTGGAATGATTTTTGCTTGTACTTTGGATAATCTTTGGTGCGCTGAAGTTCATCCAAATTTAGCTTATGAGTTTTTGAAAGGTTGGCTCATAACTTCTAAATCTGAAGCCTATCCTACATTCAAGTTTCGTAGGCTCAAACATTTGTTCCTCATCCCATTAGATTGGTAGATTTACGCAATGCATCGAAATTCTTGTACAAGCATCGAAATTTTCCACCGCTTTCGACGATAGAAATAACATTTTTGTAGTAAAACCGACTTAGAAAATGTTCTTCAGGTGCACTTTTTTTTTATGCCAAATGTGAATTTTTTCTCGACCGTACTAACTTTGTACAGTGCAAAATATGAATTCAAAAAAACGACGTACTAACTGTGTATCATCTAAATAGCATAAAATAATTCACCTACTCCTTCTTCCTAATCTTAACTTTCCGATGAGAATCTTTTATAAAGATTGTTTAGCTTTCTCTAGACTGAAAACGTTCCGGTATCTATGAAAAGTCCTAGAAAAAAGTTTGAGTGTCTATTCTGAAAGAACATAAAATTTTGATATTAACTAAATATTTTTCAAATTTCTGCAGACTTCTTAAAGAAGCTGAAAAATGAATGAAAATGTTGTCAAATTATTTTTCGATTGTCTATTATTTATAGAGAAATAATATATTCTTTTTCTTTTTAGGACAATGTGCAGTTGATGAAATGAAACAACGTTTTTCATTTCTTAATCATGATCAACAAGAAATTGATTTTAATGATTTATCAAATTATGCATTAACACATTATGTAGAAAATAATCAAGGACCATTAATTACAGATGAAATGATTCAATTATTAATTAATGAAGCTCAACAAGAAGGTATAACAATGCGTAAACTTGATGATGAATATGAGGATGATATTGATTCATTACAACAACAGCAAGTTGATTCATTAGTACTGGCACCTGCTATTGATCGACCTCTTTCATCAACATCTACTGCTTCTCATGTTGATCTATATAATCGTAATATAGATTGATTCTAATAAATTATTTTCTGCTATTTGATTATTAATAATTAAATATTGCTTTCTTTTTTGACGGCTCTTCTATGCTTGAATGCTTACAAATTTCAATTGGTCTAAATGATCTTTTGTTTTTTTAGAATCGTCGTAATAGTCAGATTTTGTTGATATGAAACAGATTTGAATGACCATCAGATACTTAGAACAATTAACAAACTGATCAATTGACTATTAAAAGTTTTCTTTACACAAGATATGCTAATTTTGAATCCATACTTGTTATTATATTATATTCTTTTATTAAATATTATTTACAGTACAATTTTACTGTACTATAATGAAACATTTTTTCAAAAGTTATACTTGTGGATTACAATATATGTTTTATCTTTGAATAAAATAGTCATTGAACCTTAAAGTCTGATATGACTATATTAGTAAATCAGCGATCTTTTGCTCTAGTTGTTTTGTATTGAAGAATTTTGATGTCGTAGATGAATAATATGATAATAGTTTTTAATTGTTTATTTTATTTTTTTGATCGTATTTTGCATTAAATCAATTATCTTAACGATATTTCACTACCAAGTGATCATCATCATTTCATATTATCAAATGTATATTCTGTTTGAAAATAATAAGAGATATAACAGTGATTGAAAAAAAGCTGAGTTTTTTATAATACAGATAATGAATAGAGCGTTTCAGAAAACAGGAGTATCTGAGTTTTACGAATAATGATGTATCTATAAACTAATTTGTATTCAACGAAATTCTAATGTTCAATCTCCATTATTGACAAGTACAAGATCGCATTTGAAATTATCAATAGTCATTGAATATGAATCAGAACAAACGATAAGCAATACTTATAGTAAACAGAAAAATACCAGTATCATATCAAACAAGTACGCTTGATGTGTTGTCATCAGGGAATCGCCAAACGCTAAATCAAGTAAGGTGATAGAAAAAAAGTTTAACAATAATGTGTGTTTGATTTTTTCTTTTCTTTTATTAGTTAAGGGAGTTTTTAATTTCATACGTTCTATAGCAAGATTTCATAGATGAACTATCATAGGAAAGTTTCTAAAAAAACCGCATACGGTTTTCAGGTCCTTGAAGGTTATTTATTAATAATGTCATTTTAAAAAAAATAGAATGAAGAGTCGCCACATTTTCTACAAGTCTTTCTTGAAAAGTTAAAACTATCACAAAAACACAAAAAAACGAAATGTATCAAAAAAATCGAATCAAAAATACCTTTTTAGGTTTTTGTAATACTGGTAACTTTTTAAAGGAAGGTTGTAGAAAATGTGGCAGTGTCTCATTTTATTCTCTTTAAAATGACATTGTTAAAAAATAACCTTCTGAAACCTGAAAACTACCGTATCCGATTTTTTTAGAAACCTTGCTATAGAATGTATTAGAGAGAAAACTCCATTGACTATTAAAATTATTATCTGTATTTGAACTAATTACCTAGTATTATAGAAAAAAGAAAATCAAAAATGGGTTTTTACTAAACTTTTTCCACCATCGTATGTTGTTGCCATTGTGATCATCTAAGATAAATGAAATTGGATTTAAATCGAATATTGATATTGTTTGTGTTCTAAAAGTTCTATTGCAATATCCACAAAAATACATTTACAATGTCTGTACGACTACTAATGTCTACTATATATAGTTTAATGTCGTTGTTAAAATCTGTAACTGGGTAATTCCACCGCATATATGATACGTTTATATCGAGTTCCTCCAAATCGTTTTTCATGTTTCAAATCATGTAGAGTATAGTCGATTTCCTTACTATGATAATAAAAGATCCACTATAAAATGTAATGTTGCAAAGATCAGTGATTCATAAAATTAATGCAAAACATAACTAATACTATACAAAATAGTATAAATAATGTTAAAATATCCTTCATTATATATCGCTAACATAGAGTTTAGGCACATAGTGATATAGCAGGTTTTGTATAGTATTAGCTATATTTCGCATTAATTTTGTGAATCATTGATCTCTTCAACATTAGAATTTATAGGGAATATTTTGTTATTATAATGAAGAAATCGACTATACTCTGTACGATTTGAAACATGAAAAAGATTTGAAGGAACTTGATGTAAACGTGTCATATATACGATGAAATCACCCAGCTACAATTAATATTCGATAATCATCAGTGAAATAATCTGTTTGTGTCCTTCATATTCTATCTATATCCTCAAGAGAAATACTTATGCTAGTCGTATAAGCATTAGGCGGCGGCAGCTTCTAGACTATTATTATCATGAAAGTTAATCAAAAGTAATCCACCGTGGATTATTATTTTGACTAGCGTTTAGTCCCAGAAACATACTGATAATATTATTATCAGTATTAGCAACAACGATATCTGGTTTACCATTATAATTAAAATTTTCAATGATTGCCTATCTGTATCTGTAGAATATGCTATATAGGACACAAAAGTTTCACTGACATTTCTAAGTGATACATTCAAAGCATGTGACCAAGATAAGACAATGAACAGATCTAATCAATTATTATTATCGACATCAGCGCCAAACACTGATTCAGAACTGTTACTAGTAGTTTATATCATTTGTAATTCAAAAATTCTAAAAATAGTTCTAAGAAATGCGTCAATATCGTTTTTAACAAAGTTAATAACTGTTAGATCTAGATTAGTATTGCTATTGAAATCATTCACACGAATTCTTCTCAGATAATTACCACTCGACAATACAATCATTGTTGCAAAAGTCACTTTGGCACTAACTACAAGCCAATAGAAAATAATCGTAGCAGAAAAAAATGTGATAGTATAAAAACATGAGATTCTATTCTTTTTTTGAGAATGGATATATAATGAACTCATATCATATAAAAGCTTTCAATTAGATTCTAGTTGCAAAGTAAAATCAATACGATATACCAAGTTTCTCATTAGTGAGCAATCAAAAACACAGATAGAATTTTTTTTTTATAGTAGCAGCAAACTAGCAATGAAATATAAATGACAGGAAGTATGACACAATGAATATACAATCAAATATTGAAGATGACAACTCTGATTTCTCAGAATAAATTGTCAATAATCATTAAAGTACTCTTGTTCTTAATTGCATCCGATTCTATTCTTCATTTTAAAAAAAAAGACAAAAAACTCATTGCAATATTCAGTGATATGAGTTTTATTTTCATGAGTACTACTTTCTCCTATTTATAAGAAATGATCATTTTTAATGAAACTGATTATTTTACAAATGACAAATTTAATATGGTCATATAGGAATTAGAACTAAGAAAATCAATGCAAATTCTTTATATATAGATTGGTATCATATTTGATGACCTTGATGTAGTCAAGGTTGAAATATTTGATAATTTTTGTATGGCTCATAATGTTATTGAATTTTGAATATTTGACAATAGTGTTATACTTAATGTTAATATTTAAGTTGTGACTCTTATTAATATTGTTGTACTCACATTCACCTTAGATAAACTTTGCATCCCTAAAGCGACATAGCTAGAATACAAGATAATATTATAGTAATGAACTCGTTTGTTCAATAGTCTATTTTTTTTATTAAATAGATACGGATTAATTTACATGAATAGTAAGTATATACTACTTATAGTAAACAACATCATTTGATAAATGAGCAATCATCTTTAATATTTTTATAAGGTTCTAAGATCGAATACAAAGTATCTTATGCACAATCGTTGACATTTTTTTTTGGCTATTGAATAATATTCATAACAAAGTATTATTGATGAACGGCAACTAACACTTATCTGAATAGCTACTGCATAACAATAGAGAACAATTTATTTAAGGCTGTCATGTAGCATAAGATGAATAAGATTGAGTTAATTTTACAATAGAATTATGATTGATATTCATGTAATTAGATGGTTTTGTGGTTTTTGACCTATGAAAACAATTAGTTAAAAGTAATGATTAGGAATGTAAAAGAGACATTCGAAAAACTCTTGATATCTCTTAAAAAGAAAAAATTAATCGTCAATTGAGTAATCTATGTTCTTCTGTCAACAAGTAAAACATAAAATAAGTGATATTCTTGTGTTTTTCATTCAATCTTTCTCTCAAGTCATACATTCATAATATATCCTTGTACAAAATCATATATGCAATCACATTATAATATATGAAATAATGCACATTGACATACAATGACATGCATCATTTAGCCATTAGATTACTATGACGTATATCGTTTACAGATAATCATGTTGATGTGAGAATACATAGTAATGTAGTCGTTTCCTTTTATTTTTTTGAAGGATAGATAATTTTGCTGCTAAAATTAAACACAACGGTGTATAATGATCTACATTAATATATTTGAAATAAAATATATCTCTATGAAATAGTTAACTATGGGATTTGTATTATATAATTCATTCATTTAAACAATCAATTTATGATATTGATTGTATTTACATCTTAAGTTTTGTTTCAATATGCATATTTGTCGTTCAATTGTAAATTTCATTTATAGTCATAGTAATTCTTATAATGTATAGTTAAGAGAAAATTGTTCTACTTAATAGAAATCTTTTGAGATAAAAGTCTAAAATGAATCATTTTTCATCATGAGTTATATCCAATTTATTAAAGCTTTGTCAGATATCAACGTATACAACTTAATGTTGAAATTTTCATCTAAAATTTGTATCCATGACGAGTTCTCAATGTCACTATATGACGTGCCGATTGCTTCAGCCAGCATGGATATTTCTCTCCCGAGATAACATATCTCAAAGATATGATATTTTGTTATGACGAACTCAGAAACTCGAACTCTTTTTTATTTTTCTTAGAATCTTATATCTCGAGATAAAAGCATCCATATTGGCTGAAACGATTGGTACTTCATATTGTAATTCTAAGAACTCTTTTTTGAACAAAATTTTATATGAAGATTTCAATACTTAATTATTTTTTTTTTTTAATAATATACCTTGATGATATGCTAAAACTTCAGTACTTTGGGTATAACTCATGATGAAAGATTCAATGAAAAATACTTGAGTCTAGAATTTGTCTAGTTTCAATAGATTCTACCTAATCAAAAAAGTGTCATCTCAGAAAGTGTTTATCATTTGAC